ACATTTTGTTAATTCATAAATAACTGAAAAAATTGAAAGAAGAAAACAGTTCCGTTAAATATTAGGGTCTGCAGTTTATAGTGTTCTCTGAGCTCCTTGGTTTAATTGCGGAGCTTTCATCGTCTTTCTGGACGACATCTTCAGCGCAGTATTTAGCATAAAGTGAAATGATTTAAATTTCTTCATGACTCTCCCGGTAACCATCTTTAGATATGTATTGACCGTGTTCTGTTGATTGGGATTTTAAACATTCTGATCACCTGATTTACTTCTTATTAGTTGGTATATTTCATCTATATTAACGTATGTATTAATTGCGTTTTCATTTTGAAGCCTGGTAGATTCTAGGAATTCCCTGGCACTTTTGGTTTTTCCTCTGTTTAAGATTTTGAAATTATCCGAATCAAATTGATGTTCATGATCGTCTGTATGCATTGATACTAAAGAATTTATATCATGTCTTTTCACGGTTGATTTGTGTTCCTGGATTCTTATTCGAAGGGGACGCCCACTTTGACCTATCTAATGCTTGTTACAGCTCATACAATTTATTTTGTAAATGGTGTTAGTTTCATCTCCCTTTTCTATCGGATCTTTTGGTTTGCATAAGATGGAATTAAGCGATTCAGCTGGTTTGTGTGCTACATCTATATCTAACGGTTTCAATTTTCTAGCCGTTATTTCAGAGATATTTCTGATATATGGTAGGATGAATTGCTTTTTGGTCTTTGGTGATGCTTCTTTGTTGGTGCTTTCATTCGGTTTTAAACACTTTTTGATGAAATTTTTTGGTAAACTATTCTTCTTGAACACCGTTTGTAAGTATCTTTCTTCCATTCTTTTCAACTCTGGTGTGCTACAATGTGTTTGAACTCTTCTGAACAATGTCTGCACACAGTTTCTTTTGTGAGTAATTGGTTTGTTGCTAGTATAGTTGAGTATTTGATCTAAGTGCGTTGACTTTCTATATACTTGTGTTTCTAAACTTCCTGTGTTGGTTCTCCTGATTAAGACATCTTGAAATGGGATTTTGTTATCTAACTCTTCTTCTCTTGTGAATTTGATGTCTTCAAATATGTTGTTTATTAATTTATGGGTATATTCTAAATCATTTCTCTTAATTATTACAAATGTATCATCAACGTAACGTACCCAGATTTTCTGTTTAATTATAGGTAGAGCTATTAATTTTAATCTTGACGGCATGATGGCTTCAGCTATTAATCCTGATATGGGCGATCCCATTGGTGTACCCTTTATTTGCTCATATATTTGAGTATTTAATTGGAAGTATGTTGTAAGGCATAATTCTATGAGTTCGATCCAAGTTGAACATTGCATTTTTATCTTTTCATCACTATAGAGTAATTGTTGCTAGTTTTGGACTAATTGAAGTATATAATGCTGTGACATCAAAGGACACCATTATTTCATTGTCTTCTACCTGAATGTTTTCGTATTTCTCTAAAAATTGGATTGATGAATTGATAGAATGGTCGCATGATTCTGTTAGGTAATTTAACTTCCTGAAAAGTTCTTTAGATAGATTATATGTTGGTGTTCCTGGAAGTGAAACAATTGGTCGTTAGGGGATGTTCGGATTGTGTAGTTTGGTCTACCATAAAATCGAGGTAAAATGGGTCCGTTAGATCTCATTCGCCATTGATCTTGTTCTGAAATTCGTCCTGATTTCGTTAGTTTATTTAACGTTGTTCTGATTTTGTTATCGAATGTTTGTCTAGGGATTTTTTGTCAACTGTTGATATACATTATTATCTTTGAGTAAATCCTCTGCTTTCTTTATGTAGTCTTCTGTGTCCAGGATTACTGTTGTTCTTCCTTTATCAGTCGGTAGAATAACTATATCTTTTCTATTCTTCAGTTTCTTCAATGCATTTTGATAATTTGAATGATGATTCTAATGAAGCACAAAAATCTGTTACTGAAGCGTCACCAGTATTGTAGTTGAGTCCTTTCTGAAGAAGATGTTCTTCGGCTTTCGATAATGGCTGTTTCGATAAATTTACTACGCAATCGTTTAGAGTTTCTTCAGATGTTTGTTTGGATATCTTAGCTAGTTTGTCTCTGAGGAAGGCTCGTCTTCGCTCCTTGTGCCGTCCGCTTATCAATTTAATGGCAGTATTCAATGTTGACAGATGTTCTGGGGTAAGAGTATGTTCACGCCTCTCTTTCTAAAATCTAATCATATGCTGGTATTTTTTAATCCGATTGTGTGCATCCGTGATCATTAATCTCACCATTTGTTTTCCATGTTGTTTGGCTAACTTCCAGCCTAGAGGGCAGTTGATTGGTGGTTTATATCTGACAGAACCTGGTAGGATCTGCTGGCGGAGACGTTCATGAAGAAAGAATAGTTGTTCTTCTGTAGAAACTTGCCGTTTAGCAAATTCTTCCCATTTTCGACAGAAAAGAAGCGTTTCACGCTCGTAAGATTTTGAAATAATAGAAAAGATTTGTGATTCAGGTGGATGATTTGCAATTGATAGTATTCTCTGAGTTCCTTGGTTTAATTGCGAAGCTTTCATCGTCTTTCTGGACGACATCTTCAGCGCAGTATTTAGCATAAAGTGGAACGATTTAAATTTCTTCATGAGTCTCCCGGTAAGCATCTTTAGATATGTATTGACCGTGTTCTATTGATTGGGATTTTAAACATTCTGATCACCTGATTTACTTCTTATTAGGTGTTGGTTTGAAGAGATTTGATTGGTTTCAGGATTTCATCTATATTAACGTGTTTATTGATATCAGGGTCACCTAATAACCAGTCAAGTAAATAAATTAATATATGAATACCTGACTAGGTGAATGACATACACGCTGACTGAATAACTGAACACGCGAATAAATAATTAACAAACTAAATCAGTGGAATCCCTCGAAATAAAAAGTGACCACACTAACAAATAATTAACTAGCTGAATAAACAAGAAACCACCTAACCATTCAACCACCTAACTAGCTAACTAACCAACGAAATAACTTAATAGCCTGCAAATTTGATGAACAAGCGATTAATTTACTGGGTAATTGAGCAGTCTACTAAATTACTGGGTCAGTAGCTAAATAAAAATATCCGAAATAACCAAACGACAAACTAACTAAGTCTTCTTCAACCAGCTACAATTTACTTAACGGATGCATGCATTTGCTGCAGTCTACGCGTACATTGTGCGTCGGTGTCATAGCGGTTAGGACTCTCGCCGACCATGCACATGATCCGGGGTTCGATCATCGGCCGACGCACTCCGTTACCTCACTAGGCCAGAAATAATGCTGGTAAAGTGGAAGGGTTGGGCGTGAGGCTAGCAACTTCATCCTGTAAAATACATACTGCTACAGAATCATCAAGCTGCTAGCTTGAAGCCCTATGTTCCACTGATGAACTTGAAGGAAAAAGAAAAAGGAGACACGTAGAATAATACTGTATCTAATTCTTTCAATAGTGAAATCTCTGACAGCACCACATGACGTGGAGTTTTCAAATTAACAGATGTGTGCAAACAATTATAAGTAATTGCTTATTCAAAGTGTAGACAAGTTCTAAATGACTGACAAAATAACAAACAAATTGATTCGATTGAATAACACACTCGTTTATTATCCAACTCAATAACTAACTAACAAACTTACCAACTAACTGATTAGTTGCCTAGCTATTCAGCTACGCAACTTACGTTGAACAAACTTGACAACTGAATAGCATTCACACCGAATGAATAAATTAATGAACAACTGAATCACAAACTCACTAACTCAATAATCAAATCAGTGGCTCATTTAATCACATGAAAACAACAGAATAGCTGTCTAACTCTTTCAACCGACGTAATGACTGAAATGCTAATCATCATATTAACTAACCAATTGAATAGCCAACACACTTACTAACATACCATCTGCCTGAATATCCAAAGAAATGACAGACTCAATAAATGACTAACCAGGAAACTAAGTGAATAGCTTACGAACTAAACGACTAACTAACATACTAACTTGTTGCATAAATAAACTTGAAGTAACTAAGAAACTGTCTAACTATTACACTAACTTTGAGGCAAATAGATAACGAACAATTTCACTGACAAACTCACTGAATAGTCGACTAAATTAATAACCAACTTAAAAATTTTCTATCCACCAAATCAATTAACTAAACATGAACCAACAGACTAAAAAAATAATTAGATAACCATCGGCCTAACTCAATAGCTTACCAATTTACTTATTACTAACTAACTAACTAACAAACTGATTGCGATTAAAAATAAGTAATCACGTTTCAGCTGTGTAACTAACTAACTAACTAACACGGAATTGAATTACCAAATCATTCATCAGTTGAATAACCAACACACTGGAACTAGCTGAATCAAAATGTGGCTAGACTTCTAACTTAATAACTCACCTTCAAACAACCAACTGACTAACCATTCACTTAATTACCTAAGTAATAACCTACCAAACTATCTTACTATCCATCTCACTTTGCACTGACCAACTAACCTGAAACTAACAAATCTACAACCTAACTTACTTATCTAATTGCTTGCCTATTCACTTGACTACTTACCTACCCACTCACTTTGTTACTTGCTTACTCAATCACATGCTTAGTTAATTTCTCACTCTACGTGGGAACAGTGAAATCTAATACAAAGAAAACTTATTTGAATTATCCTGTGTTAATCGCAAGTTAAACTTTAAGATATTTAATGTGTGGGAATTGTTTCGATATAGTTAGTTACACAGGCGTACAGGTAACTAGTACAAGCAATTGTAACTGTGTCCTCGAATTTCTTTTGTGAACCTCAGATGAGATATTCACGCCATAACACAAAATGCACATTAATATAAGATGTTCAGAAGTACATCCGATTTCCCATACACTTTCTCTCACCGCCCCCCTCTCTCTCTCTTTTCTCACATTCACTGGTCACCTGTAGAGTATAAATAGTGGTGTGATTTTTCAGTTGTTTGCTGTTCAACTGAACATCGCTGCACACCAATAACATGGTAAAGAAAAATTGTTTGATACTGGCGTTTGTTTGGACGTTGTTTCAATGTAAGTGATTTTCAGTGTTATCATGTAAATTTGTATTGCACATACTGCCCTATATTTTTATATGATTCCTTAGTTCTGTGTTTGTTCAGGAGCCGATACTGTGCGTATTTCCGTCCAATTAACGCGAGACACAACCAGGTCGTTGTGGGACCTCCTGGGTCTCCTTTTGACTTTATCGGACAATAGAGTTGACTGTTTTCAATAACACTGAACCATTAAAGTCGATAGGATATCGGTGGAAGGGCACCTGTGAGTGATAATATTATGCAGCGCGTACTTTCGTCACGACCATTTGTGATTTTACAAGTGATAGACGGAAAACATGCACTGGCCACCAGCTCCGATTTTATCTACCTATCTATCCATCCATGTATCTATCAATCGAGGCGCTACTGTTGAGTCAGTTGTATTGGTCCATGTTCAAGACACTCACGTTTTTAGGCTGTGGGACACCAGCGGGTGTGGTTAAATAAATCTGTAATGAATACAGTTCAATGTGAGACCACTCTGACCAAAGACGTCAAAGACGCCTGAATTGAAGGTTGTTTTTCTATCGTATGTGGAGTTGCAAATAAATCGCTAGAAGCATCTGAAGTACCAAATACACGATACGAAAGAGGTTAATACAATTTGCCTCAAACAAGCGTTGATATGTGTGCCAAAGGAACAACTCCAGGCACTGCTGTCTCTCTTGATGTATTTTACCACTGACAATTGTCAATCAACTGCAATCTATCGGGATTACTGATCCGATTTCATTTTGTTGGTAGTAGTTGTGTTTAGCTGAATAATTCTCTAATGAATGACAGTGGATATATAGCTGAAGAATCAGGAAGGAAGGTATTTATGAAAAAGAATATTCTTTGTACACTAATCAGTCTTTTTTATTTGAGCGCCTGTAATTGATTAATTTCAAAGTCGTTTAATTTCATTCTGTCAATTTCATTACAGTTTCCTACGTCCTGTGCAATGAAATATCTTCGGCCAAAAGCAGTAAGTCATGCTGAAATTGTTCTGCCGACGACTTGAATTTAATTTCGACTACATTGACTTTCAGTCGTTCGTGTTGATGAGTAGTTAATTTTTTCGCGTGAATCATAGTTGACGAATTATCATCCTCGTGTATACTTGTGCAACCACAAACATACATGCACAGAATGCTAGTCTAACGCGAGGAGATAGGTGACGGGTAAACGGATCTTTCTTATCCACATTAGAATTCTAAGGGTCAAATGGGAGGGGGGTATAGGTATTTCTGATTAGTTGTTCATCGGTTAAGTGGTCAATAATGTTGTCTAATGGAGTTAACGATGTCCACAGCTTAAAGCGAAACCACGTTTGATGAATAAATACTTCCACAACTGTAGCTATTCACTCAAAATTACGATTTCAGTTTCATCAGCTTATTATCCATCTACATTAGACTGCATACACTATTTCTATTGCTATTCGCTAACCGATTATATATGTTTCAAGCGGCGTAGACATCAGAGAGTAGAATTAATTCTTTCGCCATGGCCGATATCACGTAGGGATTATGAATGGTGTTCCCCACATTCAAGGTACGACATGTTTCTATGTCAGAATCGGTTATACGAAGATGACGTTAGTCAGCTTCACACTTGACTACTTCATGAAACAATGTGGTAAGAGGAGATCTGATCAGCGAATGCACATTTGTTCCGAGTGGAATACATGGCCTAACCAGCACATCTTCACTGAACTCACTTCTCCGCAAACACTTCCATCTTGTCTTGTGATTCCAACTAGCTTCCGTTCCCTTCTTACGATTTTTTCTTCATGTCACCTTCACAGAGACGTCGCTGCACACCTTGGTTCAAACCAGAGGCTTGCCTAATATGCGATGTGCCTTGAAACCAGTTGGTCATTACGTCTTTTTGGCAAACTGTTGAATTGACAATTAGGCTCACTGGTTATTGACAATTAGTGGTTAAACAAAACAAAGATTATGAGAACTAACAATGATTGAAAGTCACTGTTAGATGGTGAAATTCGTAATAAGACACTGCCTTCACGTATCCAGCCAGATGGTGTGTCGTTAACTACAGGACTTGAAAACCAGTTGGAATCATGGAGACAGGCCTTCATTACACTGAAATCAATTTGTAAATCTTCTACACTAAGTATATTGAAAACGAATTGATTTGAAACATCAACGTTGAGTCAGTTCTACAATATGGTTTAGTGACTTGACAAGTAGTTCAACCGTCTAACTTTTCAATAATTTTATCCAGAATGAAGAGGAAACGCTATGTTAATATCAGTGTTTATATTTGCCAAATGAAAATATTATATCCAAATTCCCTCACTTTGTGTTTACCTTTTTACTACATTCTAGCTGAATTGAACAGTCTGATCAAGCGTTACAGTGACCTCTTTGGTCGCTACAAGTCTGCTGAATGTGAATGTGGTCAAAACTAGGATGATCACGTGTTGGTAGTTTGGGATTTGATTGATTTCAAAGGTGATCGAGAATGGATGTCGGTTGGAGAAGCATTGAACAGTCAACGGAGTGATGGACACCTAATTCACACTCCTTCGACATCATTGATCACTACACTGCACATCACCTGCACAAGGATTGAACCGAAGGCTCACGTATTAAAAGGTGATCCCATAGATAATACACACATCGGAACGGTATTCAAAGCCTGGCCAGTAAAATCAAACTTTGACCTATTCGCCACAACCAGTATTTGTAGTGTGAACCTGCTGAGTGCACACTACTGAACTGTTTGCAAAGAAAGTTGAAACAACAGTCCCTGTTCTGTAATGGTTCTCTAATCGACATCATTCACTACGTGATTACTTATGAAATATTTTAATGTAATAATCTGCTTTACAGGCGCTGCATTTTTGGTAGTCAGCTCACCAGAAATCAAATGGACTCTGAAGGAATTTAACGATGGTGAGATATTTAAGCTAATTTCAGTAATAGTAATTATGGTCATAACAACCGTGATACTTTATTCAATGAAAAACTATTGATATTTGTCGACTGGTTGTGAGAGATTGAAGAGAAGAATGCAGGATTCGTTACATTCAGAAATGTTTTCAGTTTGGCGCGTAATCCATTCTTCCAGGTTTGGTTATGGAGTGATGCCAGTTAGAGAAACGGTGAAAATGACCTGGAAGAACCGGACAGTAGTATCATCCCCGTTTGAGATTCTGCAGCATTTATGTAAAAACCTGATGAAATGCCACATTCATGGTTGTCAATACCAATCAATGTTATAAGAGCAGTTAAATAGGGATATCTGAATGACGTATTATAGTGATGGATACTTTATACAAATGCGTTATTATCCGGAAACAAAAGAAAAGAAAGTTGAATGTGGTTTTACGTAGAATCTTTCAGGGAATACAACAGAAAAAATGGGTAAGAAGAACAAGCAAACAATGAACAAGCCAACAAGGTTGTGGGCATGCAAGTAGAAGTGGTTGGATAATGATATCCACTCGTGTGCATAGACTTGAGTTTTCTTTCTGAATGGCTACAACTTCAGCAAAGGGTAGAGGTGAGGAAAGTGTATCGTGATTAGCAGAGAATTGACCTTCATTTGTTCACGTTACTTCGAAGATGGAGTTCGATGAGATAGAATAACGTATGTCTGACCAAGTGTTCAACTATCGAAGTCCTCGTAAATCAACTGTCGCCATTATTATGACAAGTTAACACTCATCGGTTTTCGTGTATTCATGACAAAATACACATGAATGCGATTGTAGAGCTGATGAAGAAGGTGATTTCGTTGAAGACAGCCTCTTTGCTGAATTTATTCTCTTGTAATCTTGCAAAGTGATTCACTGATTCATGACAAAATGCAGGAATTTTGCACTTGACTTTCAATTAGTGGAAGTGATTCGTAATCTGCTCGCATTGTCTTCTTCACATACTTTCCATATTTTATTCTGCAGTGAACTGACTCCGTCCCTGAAATTTTTCTGGCTCATAAATTGTCTTTGAAACATTGACATCCATTTTATGATGCTGTTTCACCATGTGTGAGACATGCAATCACATGCTAACACCACAGCCTGCCACTCTAATACATATGCTGAGATTATTTTCTTATTGATGTTGTCAACGTTATTTTCTCTGTCTTTCAGTTATACGCGACACCAAGTTGCAGATATTTGCGAACACGTCCGTGGATTATCTGAATAGTGAGTACTCATGTTGTCTGTCAGCGAATTATAATCATAAAACAGCACTCAGTAGTGTTAATCAATATTATCATAAGACATTAAAACAACGTACAACTGAGTGAATCCAACGAGTGCTCGTAGAACACTCGCACCAACAAACATTAAGGCTTGTTAGCAAATCAGGTCAAATGGATCTGAACATCACTGCCTGCCTATTCGTTTCCTTCTGGTTGCGGGTTTGTCAGCAGTGTTACAAGTTTACATCAGCTCAAACCACCAGATTTCCGGCTGGCTACTTCGGCGATACTGAAATTATTCAAGCCGCTAATTGTGTGTATTGCGTTTGATATCATAATGACAACCGGTGAAACCGACCACTAATTTCACTGATATGAATAGCGTCATACAGGAATTAATAATTTCCATTTCTAGATTGCAAATATGCACAATTAATCACCAGAGACTTGTGTAAACTACGAAGTGATTTGCAAATTGTCAATATGATTTCAGTTCATTGTGAAGCTCAATCACTAAATATGTCCCCCACTGAGACAGTGACATGCACATATGTATCCGCCTATATCTCATGCTTATTTTGTATCCAAATGAGTCATGAGTGACATTTTCATTGATTACAGAACTGAAAAGCGAATACACTTGGAAGAATGTAAACGAAGTATCTTACCTGTATCATGACTATATAGGTATGATTTATTTTCAGAGTAACTGCTTTTAACGTTAAGAACTATTTTATTATTATTATTGTATCTTTTAGTTCCTAGAGGAACATAGGGCTTCAGCTGCGCACCTCCATTGCCTTCTGTTTTCTGACAACTTTTTCACCCTGCTTTAGGTCTGTCCACATGCTTTCATCTCCTCCTCGCATGACCTCCTCCTTGGACGACCAACTCGCCGCCTCCCTTTCGGGTTCCACTCGAGGGCTTGTCTAGTGATGTCACTTGATGGTTTCCTCATAGTATGGCCAATCCATCTCCATTTCTTCCTGCCTATTTGTTTCAAAATCGGTTCCCGATTGGTTCGCTCACTGCCAGAGATCCCTGTTGCTGATATTTTCTGGCCATCTTATCTTGAGCGAAGTATTCAGCGAAGACAGCTGTTAATGAAGGTTTGAAGTTTGTTTGAGATGTTCTTTATGACGCGCGAAGTCTCTGATCCGTATAGTAGTACTGACTGACCACATTGGAGTTGAAGATCCGGATCTTATTTTTAATGCTGAGTGCTGTTGACCTCCACACAGATTGAGAGTAATGAAAGCTTGTCTTACTTTTTCGATTCTAGCTTTGATATTCTCGTCAGTTCCGTTCGCCTGTAGTTGAAACGATGCTTCCCAGGTAGGTGTAGGAGACTGTTTCTTTCAGGTTCCTCCCATTTACGCCAGCTGATTGTTGTCTGTTGTTGTTGTTGTTGATGTTGGCTAGGAATCTTCATCATCTCTGTTTTTTCTATGTTCACGTGAAGTCCTATCTTTGATGCTTCTTCTATCGCCAACTTGTTTCTTTTCACTTTCATATCTTCTATTTTATGGGAAATCAGACACCCATATCATCGGCGAAATCCAGATCCTCCAAGTCTTTTGTGTCAGTCCATTTTATGCCTGTTCCCTCGTTGGTTGCCATTGTCTGTCGCATTATCCAATCAACTGCAATCAGGAAGATCATTGGTGATAGTAGACAGTCTTGTCGCACTCCCGTCCTCACTTCGAAGGCTTCCGTAAGTTTCGCGTTGTGAATTACTTGGCATGCAGCATTGTCGTATAGCTGTTGAATGAGATGTATAATTGTCGATGGGACCCCGTAGTAGCGAAGTAGTTGCCAAATGACCTCTCGATCGACGCTGTCGAAGGCCTTTTCAAAGTCGATGAAGTTGAGTGAGGTGGAGAGGTTACTGCCATTCCAAGCTTTGTTCAATGATGATCCGTAGAGTGGCGATTTGGTCAATACATGATTTGTTTCTCCTGAATCCGGCCTGTTCCGGACGACGTTTTTCATCTGGGGCTTGTTTGATTCTCTTGCATTGACTTAAGTCTCCTTTCTTTGGTAGTTTGAATAAGTATCCTTTCTTCTAATCCTCAGGTACTTCGCCTTATCCAGTAGTGGTGTCATCAAGTCCGCTGTTGTCTCTGGGTCTATTTTCAGTGCTTCCGCTAGGATTCCATCTGGTCCTGCTGCTTTTCCAGCTTTTAGCATCTTGATTGCATTCAGGGGGTCAGTGTTTACTGGTAGTTCTGCTTCCGTTGTTGGTATTGTTGATCGCGTTGTGGGTGGCGGGCGATTTAGAAGTCTTTTGAAGTGTTCAGCCCAGTGCTTTCTCTGTTTCACCTCTTTGGTGATTGACTTTCCATTGTCGTTCTTTATTGGCTTAACCTGTGTCGAACGTTTGGCCGATAGGTGCCTAGTTGTTTGGTAGAGTGTGGCGAGGTCTCATTTGCCTGCAGCTTGTTCTGATTCGTTTGCCATGGTTTCATAATATTTTCTTTTGTCTTCCCTGGCACGTTAAGAATATTAAACAACATTGAGATTGTATACTTACAGGTGGAGAAACTTGAAAAGAAATATTTCCAGGGCTGCGATTCAATCACAATCAGATTACTTAACAGGTTCAATCGCCAGTTGATTTATGTCTGTTTGAGGACCATTAAAATCCATTTGGGAGAACTGGACAACTGTTTTATCATAGTTTGTCATTGTTCAAAAGTATGCATCAACGAACCAACACATCTGGGTTGGGAACAAAAATCTTCAGATCTCGAGGTGATATCGTTGACAACCCAGTCATTGGGAGGTTGTCCAGTCACCTACTCATCAATGTCGATAGCCTACACGGAAGTTCCTGTGCTCAATCTCTGTTTAATGGTTTCGTACAATGAGAGTTGTCTACTAAGGCCTTGAGCTACTTAAGAATCCATGGTCATTATATTGCATCTAATTTCATGTATGCACTTGGTTTCAAACTATTAACCTACTAAGATGTGATTTATAGTCTGATTGTTTGAAGTCTTCGAAACCTGTGAATTTGAAAATTTTCACTAAATCCGAGCAAAGGCATCGTTCTTGGTGGTTGCGTGCCTTAAAACTTACTTCATTACATCAAGTGATGCTTTTTGAGATCATGAGAACAATCTTTAGTTCTCTGATCAATGAAACTAACTGTCTGCAGGCTCACATGTCTTCTTGTGTGAACTGCAATACGAGGAGTATAACTCTTCACGAAACCTGGTTCTATGATGTAAATAATGATCTTTTAATCTGTCTGAAGGTTTTAGGCCGTTTAGACAGCATCAGTGTAGCTCTGGAAAACATGGTGTTTCCGTTGCGACCCTCATCAATCCTCATTGGTGGTACACTTACAATAACGCGCAGTTCAGTTTCTCAAGTGAGAAAATCGACTGCGATAATGTAAAAATGTCTGCTGAAGTATCTGCCTGTCAAAGAACAACAATAACTACATCTCGAACAATTATATTGCGTCTGATTGCAATCTCATTTGCTGATAAATTCACTTCTTTGGCTTCTACCCCGTATGCCAAATCTTTATCGATAGTTACTGGAGATTTCAGTGACTTCCGCTGCAGGTTCTTCATGTTGACAGCTCGATGAAATGTTATTCCCATGAGTCTAGTGTTGTATATGGCACTGCAAGTCGAATGTGGAACAACTTGGAATATGCTTTGCTGCGATATCGCTAAGTCTCTTCACTGACAGTTTATTGACTTTTGCGTTCTACCTATGTTGTTTTATTTCTCCTCCTCAATTTCTCTCAGACTATTTAAGAACCACTTCGTTAGATTTTGAAGAGGTGTAAAAGCGGTTTGTGTGGTGATTGAGACGTCACCAAACCACCTTGTTAACACTGGTGATGATAGTTAAGGGAACTGACACAAGAGATCAGCGAATATCATCTTGTCCAACTGTGAGCAGCCTCTCTATACACAACTCTCTCATCTCACTTCATCAGAGAGGACTGGAAGCAATGATCAAAATCCCTATGCTCCGACAACTAAGTATAACGCTCCGAAAAACTAATTTTTCAAAATTATTCGTTGCACACATAAAAATCGTATGTGTTATATTGAGGTAGCTCAACTTGGAATATCTACCGACATTTCCTATCCTCTGTTCAGAAATGTTGACGACTCTATTTCGTTTCCATTCTGTGTCTCCAATTTAATGTAATGCACTGAATATTTAAACACATATTGGAGCGCATATTGAATAAGCTTGGTCAGTGAAAATAGTGTTCGCATTTATCTACTCCTCAGGTCAATTGAAAGACGTCGAAGAGTACCACAGTGAGTTGATTGATATCCCAGATAAATATTCAAATATATGGGTATTAACAGATGAGCCTATTTATCTCTAAATACGCATATGCATATTACGATGAATAGATCGACTTTTAGATATATAGACAGATCAGTGAGAGGAAGTTTGATCCAGAGATGGAAACATAGAAAGAGACATTTTACTGAGGCATAATCAGTCATGCATTTTCCACTCTTAAATTGACAGTGTTTGTTGTTTTTTCAGACAATACTGTATTTGAAAAAGTGTGGACCAAAATGGGGAACATGAAAGTTACAGTTAACCTACATGCAGGTAACGTCTGATCTTGATGATGAAGTATTTTCCATTATATGTTTCTCGTGTTGTGCCGGGTGGACTGATATTCGATCCTTCACTCCAACACACCGCTGTTCTATACAATCATGTTATGTCTTCCACAGACTGATAATCAACTCTGGTGGATATTCACAGGATCATGGATTCACCACTCTCCACCACGTATTCGCCTTCTGCATCACATACTCAATGCTTCTTGTCTCTTTGGATATTATCATGCAGATCCTAAATCTGAAGATATTTATCTTTCCGACATTCTATAGACATAGTAAAAATAAGTCAACGTGGGCTATTGATTTCCACTCTTGTTATTCGACATGCATCTGGATAATCAATTAAAGCTGCAGATGATAGATATCGGCAAATGTTGAACACGGTTCATATGCCCATTTCGAATCATCAATGTGTCCGCCTACTTCATTGCATTTACTCAAATAAGATTTCAATATACACCACCTTGACAACGTCATCACAAATTAGCAGCCGCACACACAGTATATTCAACTCCTTTTTAGAGATATTTGGAGAAATCGAATTCTCTGTCATCTCCACAGAACATGATCATGACACCTATTTACTCGAAATCAATCTATTAATCCAATACACCTGAGGTTTTGCCAGTCTCAGATCACTAGCAACATCCTTAACAACGCCCAACCTAATGGTGACAGTTGGTTATATTCTAAAACACCATTGAACATCGTCAGCTCATATTCTGATTGTCAATTGGTAGTATGTGAAATTGATTTGTTAGGTGTGAATTTTGTGCAATTTGAGATCCTTCAGTTGAAAGTGTGTGGATTCTCTCCATTTGGTGGTATTGTTTCCACTAAGACTCGAAAGCAGTATTCATCATTTCAGACAGCATGATGTTATCCACTACACCACTTGTGCAACGACAGCCGCCTCTTGTGAAATCCATATCAGCTTTTGCTTCTTTTCAGTGAATTTCGATTTTCCCGTTGACTTATTCGAATGAAATGTTCAACCTGTGCGGGAAGTCTACCACACACTGGGGAATGCAGGTACGTCCAACTGACGAGTTCTGAATGACACGAATCAAACATCATGGATTCGACTGCTAATCACCACCAATCAATTATTTCACCGTAATCCACGGACTTTATCAGTACGTCTCTTCTATGAGCCGGCAAATGAACAGAGGTCAAATGTTTCTGCCTAATCAATCAACAGGAAAATTGAAATCAAATTAAAGTAGATATTTGATTACACGTCAATAAGAATTCGTGCTTCTGAATAACATGCTGAACCTAACATTGTATTCTACTGATGATTTGCAGTGTTTGAAAACTACTTGAAATCTCTTGGCAATGCATGGACAGCTAGGAAGGATCTCTACACGACAGCAGGTTAGTAGACAGAGTATAGCCATTGTTTTTGTTGTGGCTTCTTGCAAATTCCATCCACAGCTCACTAGTTTTCAAAGTGTTTTAAACAAAATGCTAATTACGAACATGAGTCACAGCCTATTGTCACTTAGCAGTAGAATAAATCAAAAAATATGAGAAATAACAGTGTATAAAATGAACACAAAAAGCTCTCATCATCACAGAAGTTGTCAGGTTGTAAGGGATGAGGAGAAGTTTGGAAATGTTTGAGAGGAGACAAGATAGCTAGGAATCGGACTGATGTCACAAGAATTGATTGACTACAGATCAATGGCAAACTCAGGAATATCAGGACATTGTGGAGGATTTGCTTACAATGTCATGAAAATTCAAAGACTTACAGTCAGCGACCAACCATTAGGCAGAAGTGGTTGGAAAGTGAAAGTAACACGTCGAATAACCATAGAGTAGACAGAAATCATGAGGTTAACCAACCGGTCAATCACTGTCTGTGTGAGAATTTTGAAAGATATCCCTGCCATCACTCAATCAGCCAGACAATATGGTTTCAACTTCAGATATCACGAGAGATGAGGGTTTTGAAACCAGTCACTATCAGAAGGGCAACACAGATATTCATGATTGTGATATCAGTTTTAAAATCTTCTACACTTAGTCATCAGAAGGAAAGAAATTCAGATTATTCACACACGTGTTAGATCAGTTATTCTATATGGTTCATTGACTTGACATGCGCTACACTGAAATCATTTCCAGCAGATTATTGCTGACTTTGATAAAAAGCAGAAGTTTCTGCTTTGTTTCAAAGGTCAGATGGCAAGAATACATTTTGCTATTACCTATTTGTTTATTTAATTTGTTCGTTCTTGATTCGATCGGAGGACACTGTGTCAAATCTCAGCTTTAAACTTTCAATATCTGTGATGTTTTCTAAATTGTGTGATTCACTGCCTAATACTCTTCAGTCCCACTGTGTTGAGCTTACAGTATACCGAGTGAGGCAAAGGGTGTGTGTCTTCTGGAAGTGAAAACCCATACCACATGCACGTTTTGCATGGATTCTAGCATTGAATCACCGATGAACGCAGAAGGAATTACCGACAAGCAACTCTGGGAACAATGACATCGAATGACATCACACGTCAGGCTATCACTCGAGGGTCAACCCGACTCATGATATCTTTGAATCGAAGTTGGGAGCATAAGAGTTCTCTTTGCCAACGTAAGCATTCTTAATCACATATCGTAGTAGTTAGAGCAGTACTTAGATAATGGAGGCGACTGTCAAGTGGAGTAACCCGCCAAGTATTTTTTGAGGTGTATATGCATTTCGCATGTTGATAGATTGTCAGTGAACGATTTAACTTGAATGGGAATGAGGCCACACTGTCAACAGGACGGTAATAGTAGTTTCTGAAGTTGTAGTATTAGCAGAAGCGTGAACAGCAACATAAAACATAGTTTCAAAATAGCAAGAAATAAAGCGAGTGTGTGAGGTTTAAGTCTAAACTGTAACACCAGTCTACCCAAGCTTAACTCCTCCTCAAATCTTCTCATCACATGAAACTGCATGGATTACTTTGCAAATGAAGACCATTCTTCTTTCATGTCATAAATCTCACTGACTTGCATACACTAAACAGTAGCAACTGTTGGCTTACAATTGTTTATTATAATCACATACACTTTTATGAAATAAATTTGACGAAACACATTCTCGATGTTTTGTATTGACAGCTGTGTACTACAAAACCGACAACATGCAGAAGAATGACGACATCAATTCTGGAAGTGAGTGAACAGAATTAGCTGAAGTGTATGTGCATTTATTTATTGACAAGGAAACAAATAAGAGGTATGGTTCTAGGCTAACATCAGTCAAACTATCATCGAAAGTAAGCAGGGTGTACTGGACAGTCGCTGCGTCTCACTATACGACGATTGAGCAGTCGGCTCTTTACCCCAATATCATGCACTTTGAAAATGCCTTCGATAGCGTCGATCAACAGATTTGGAGACTATGTTTCTACCTCAGAGCAACGCCAAGCATTGTACGACAATGCTGGATTCAAAGTAATCCACAACGGGAAACTCATGGAACACTTCGAAGTGAATACACGAGTTAAAGAAGTCAACTGCATACTATCTCCAATGATTTTGCTGACTGACTTCGATGGATAATGCGATAGACAGACACACAGACAGAGGGCATTGAGGGAACTGTCCCAGAATGGACCAACACAAAAAGGTAGAGCATCTGGACTTCGATGATTTATGTCTGATTTCCCACACAATGGAAGATATGCAAGTGGAAAGTAACAATTCGGTGATATAAGAAGCATCAACGAAAGAAGTGTATTCAGGCGAACACAAAGAAAACATGGTTGACGAAGATTCCTGGCCAACATCAACAGCAACAATAACAACAGAAAATAATTAGCAAAAATGGGATAAATCTGAGAGAAGCAACCTCTTTTACCCACACTACCTAGTAAGCATCATTTCAACTACAGGTGGACGGAACTGATGAAGATATCTGAGCAGCGAGGATCAGGAAAACCCAGGCAAGTTTTCATTACTATGTAGTCTACATAGAGATCAACAGCACTCAGCATGGAAAACAAGATGCGGATTTTTAACTCCAATGTTAGGGAAGTGCTACTATGCAGATCAGGCACTTGTTGGGTCACGAAAGAAACCTCGAAGAAATTGCGGACGTTTATCACCAGCTGTCTTCTTTCAACACTTCGCTCAAGATCAGATGGACAGAAGAGATTAGTGATATGTATGTGTGGAAGCAAACAAACTCGACAAGAACCAATTGGGCGAAAAATAATCAGGAAGAAATGGAGTTGGATTGGTCGTACTCTATGAAAAAATAATCAAGTAACACCACACGCTAGACCATTGGTTGAGGGGAGACCGAATGGTGAGCGGCAAGCTGGTCATAAGTTCGATGCTGTCACAGTGGAAGTGATACGGAGAGGAGATGAAAGTATGTGGACAGACGTGCAACCAGTTGGAAAATTTGGTCGAGAACCAAACGCAACGGAGACTTGCGGCTGGAGCCCTATGCTGCTCTTGGAATTCAATTACACATGTGCAAGTGTTTGTCTAAAACATACACGCACACACGCACTTGATGTTAACACTTCATATTGACATACAACTTTATTTTCCACATATACTCAAACCTACAAACAATTAATTTCATTTTCGCTTTTCACTAATAAAGTGACAATTATTTAAGCATTGACTTCTGCTCTTCATTAGATGAACCAATTACCGCAGAAGAATGGGGAGAAATTATTGAAAGGGAATTTATCAAATCAAGAGGTAAACAAATATTTGAACAGATGTTAAATTTCGAATACTTTTCCTACTTGAATTATGCAGAAGCCATGATTTTCGGCAGTCATTCGTGGGTTGTTGAGAGGACTCTCGAGCGACTGAGGATGGTGCCAGTGAGACATTGAGAGCTCCTCAACCAAACTCTACGGCTCAGTGAACACAACTACACCAAGAACACTCATCCAACGTTGACCTATAATCCTACAATATCGCCTAAATTCTACTCATATATTATCTACATTATTTGAGCATGTAGTTACTCAGGCATGATGAACAGTAAGCCTCATGTGCACCTGCTTTCCCTGTAACGTGTAAGTGTGGGTGCTGAGACTGATCGATGATATCTGTGCCCGCAGAACATCAATTCCATGTTGCCTGTTTCATCGAATTACCTTGAATTTCGCTTCATTTCATTTATACCTCTACAGAGAAATTTGAGCAAGAATGCTTGCGAATATCGAGAATTCAGCCCAATGAAACTTGTAAGTCTCAGATTATCTTCTCATTGACAAAAAGCTGCAATATTAGTGACATCATCAGATATTAACACCAATGAGATCAATGTATTATTTATGGTTTTATGTGACATCTGTAATTCCCATTTGTCACCATAAAATCCTCTTGTGACAGATATGCAAGGGTGAATAAAATGTCTGTATTGAGTCTGAATTCGTCACGACTGTTATGGGAGCGTTTATACTGCTGCAGTGATAGGGAAGCATTGCTTCTGTGCACCATAAAGTACTGTGATTCATCCATGCACTTGCACATTTATCCATACATTCATTCCATCGGTTGGTCATCTTCATCACCTCCGTATTCTCTGTGGTTACTCAAAGTTATGCATTCTTCATCTGCCACATCTGCATGAAATGTAATTTTAACTGTAACTGTTCGATGTTTTGTGACACTGAAGGTGAATCGTTCGTGAAGTTCAAGTATATCACGTAATCAACGATGAATATTTGATGTACAACTCTACAATGACCCATCAACTAGCTCTTAAGACGTCAGCCGATTGCTGGAAGAAATTTCATTTCCGAATCTCTCACAATATGCAACTCATATCTCTCTTTTCGAAAAAGCAGCTGTTCCCTATCTACGAGATTTCACTAATTTTCTAATTCATGTCAACTAGTGATATAAACTTATCCTACATCCATTTATTTACTAAATAATACCCTCTAGGTGCATATAAAACATATTTCGCATGCATCTACTTGCGTCAGAGGTTCAGTGGTAGAATTCCTGATATCAGTTTGGGTCTTTGTCGATGTACACCTGAATCTAGTCAAGTGTACTAGCGGATAACAAACTTGTGCCTAAGGCTAAGAAATATACGCTGTTAAAACATAGCCTCAGCATCTGAAACGTCAAGGTTTCAACTTCCCTGCAGTCACATGCTCCATTCAGAACTCGAAGTAGCCAGAATAGGAATCTTCTTGTACCTCATAACATTTGAATCCCTTTACCTTCTTTAATCCATTGTGCCTCCTGACAATTCCTATCAACGTCCTCATATGTTTTTGTCAGCCAACGAAATATTATTGAAGAAATCAGATGGGAAAAATTTGCCAATATCTGAGTTGCAATATGATCTTGGTAAGCAGAAAATTGTATGCTTGTAATCCTCCTACCCTCTTCTATGAAGCGTTTCCAAATACTGACAACATTATGCGAAATAAAAACAAAGAAGGCCTGTGCGCATATCCTCAGGACATGCAGAACTTCACTCACATAACACATGTTGAAAAGCCATTGTATCGTATTTGGGAGGAAGTTTCGAGAGACTGAAATTACCATAGAATATTCAAGAGTGATTCTGCATGGATTTGATTTGCTTCAAGTTTGATCATGTTTTGATATTAGCTAGAGGAGCACGGCACCGGCTGCTCCTTCCTAGTTGGGGACTATTATTCAGTATGCTACCATAACACCACTGGAACTTGAACCAAAGACATGCAGGTGATGAGAACAAGCTCGTTAGCTACTCAACCAATATAGGCGGTTATGCAATGGCCATTGAATTCTAGCATGTGTCACTTCGAAAGTATATCGTGACCGCCAGGCAATGTCGTGGGCCAGTTCATGACTTCATATTATTTCAGGTGCAAACCATTCGTGTAGTGTTGCCACTAGAACTCCAGTTGTCTTCAATCTCGTGATCAACCACTGGACACCATCATCACCTGAAGGTCCTTGTTCCGACCACTGACAGGTGAGTTAATGCGTGCACACTGTCAATGAGTCCTTAACTATGAATAAACAGCCAGCTGACCATTACTCCAGGTCACTTTCCAGTTATTCTCCTGCTGATATCTATCCGTGACTCCAGCTTAGAAGATGTCGAATCCCTGAAAATAAATCCTGAACGTTAGGCAATTCGCCTACTGTCAGAGTGATTAAAGTAAAAATCTGAATTTATATGGTCTCTCTATGTCTGAAATAAAATAAACATAATGAGTAGTGAACAGTGACAGAAGGTGGAGAATTTCAGGCGAATTCATTTTGGTCGCCTTTGAATGAAGGCCATTCTAATGAATGAATTCTTCTTTCATACAAATATTTCAATCAGTTATTCATTATACAATTTGGAATATTTACTAATAAACGCAGTGAGGTGTCCGTTGTCAAATAATATTTTGTGAATTCGGTCGAATTATTTGTTAATTGACTCTTTAGAACAAATGGATTTGCTGCTCGGTAAAACCAAAGTACTGACTAGATTTCCTACGTAACGAAATTCGACAGAAGCTTTCAAATGGTAATTATTGATCCGTCGAAGTCAACTTTTGACGATGTCGAGCAATTTTCACTATTTAGTTAGACTCAGGTCTTAGATATATCCATTTAGTCATGTTTCATAAAGTTGTCTCCATCTGACTCCACCATTGTCCATAAGGCGTCATTTAATCCCTACAAAATCTCATCAGTGTCATTTTCAGGTGTTCAGCTAAACGTTTTTCATTCGAGGTCAGTGATAATGTCGTTAACTGCAGGTAGCTTTGGATTATCGAGGGTTCGAATCTCCGTAAGGAAACGTGTTGTTCCTTCAGGATTGCAGGTAGAAAACTACTTAGTTTTGATTGTCAAACAACAAATCAAGCAGGACAATTGAATGTCAGACAGAGCTATCTACTTACGGATCTCTTTTGTCGTTTTTTACTCTTATCATGATTTATAGAATCCAGTCACAAACTCTGTAATGAGATGGAGGAGAAATAGGCAATGCGCTATTTAAACATTGACCAGCTTTGAATAAGATATCCGCTAAATTAATACTACTACTGGACATTAATTTACATGTTTAGTTCAACTGATGTCTGAAGTAGAAAAGGTTGAGAAGCTCAGAATTGAAAGGTTTCACAGTAAGTTCGAATTTCACCGGTATAATCATGAATACATAAACGTTTAGCACTGACTGCATTGGATATAATGAATATAGCTCTCGATACAATGCAACGAGAGCGTGATCATGAATTTGGTAAGTGATTCAGAGATGATTAACCTGCTATTCATTTCTTGTGGGATAAATATTTATCTGCTTTCGGAATAATTGTATCATCATTATCGTTATTAATCAATCACGTACTGCTTACATTCTGAGGGGAATAAATACGCCTGAGATGTGTGCTTCCTTACAGACCTTGGTTATCGCCCTCCAAAAGCATTCTCAACTTATGCGGAAAGCGACACTGACTACCACAATATTTCATTCTCTCATCATATTATCTTCTCAGCGTCACACTAGGAAGCCAGGCCAACATGTCTCTTCCAATTCAGATTCTACTGGACGGCTTGGTGTGAGTGATGTCGATCAGTGCTCTCCTCAGAGAGCATGTAATTCATCCTCATTTTCTTCGTAATATTTGTTAAGCGACAGGTTCTCATCAGTTTTTTGGATGATAGAGCTCCTCGTCGCTGATCCCTTCTAACTGTTCATCTGATCTTCAATATGGTGCTGGCAAAGGCAGCTGTTGATAAACGTCTGCACTAGGCTATTGGAAATGCTTTACCTGATGCTCCGAATCCCTGACGCATGCAGCACAGTGAGCTTAACACTGATGTCAAAAGTTTGAGTCATGTTGTTTATGCTGAGGAGTGCAGTATATTTCCAAACTAATCGTTGAGTAATGCAGTTCTGTCTTGCCTTTCCGATTCTGGTTATAAAAACGCTGCCCATCCCTACTGAAGTTGAAAGAACCTTGTCTTCTGATTCCTCTCAGTTTGCTACACAATCCACTCAGTCATGAACACGCAGATCATCGGCGATCGCCGTTAACCTTGTCTTACTTCGATCCTGGCTTCAACTGCTTCGATGAGTGTTACTATAGGAGTTAGCTGGGATGATGCCGGTGATGTTTTGCTGGTGTCGTGAATGAAGTTGGAGCATATTTGTGGCACTACACTTTCTAGTGTTCAAGCAACCTTCAAATTACTTCGAGATAGCCTTTCTTCCAAGCAGTAGGTAGCATTTCTTCTGCTTTTCACACCTACACTTAAGGCGTTAGCACTTCCAGCAGGAATCTCAGACCATTGTAGGTGTTCCTCGAGTACTCCATCTGATTTCAACGTCTCCTCATGAATCTCCGATTTTCAAGCCTTTTGATTTCATCGGCTGATCGGTATTTACAGGTGGTTCTGCGTCTATTGTGTGTATTTCTCCATGAGTTGTGAGCGTTGACCTACATGAGACTCATATGATGCAATGAATCTGGAGTTCCACTCTGGTTAACCTCTTCCCTTACTGGACCCCACTCATTACCTTCCACTGTCTTCGTCTTTATTGATCTCTTACAAAATAGTGACCTGTATTTTGGTCAGAACCTTTCCAACGGATGGTTGAGTTCAACTTGGATAGATTACCGAACTGCTGGAAGTGACCTGCATGCCGACATTTTCTTCCCACAATGCTGTAAGATTTTCTTGCTAGATGACATATGAGACAGTATTCAACCACGGTAATAACTTTTGTGGAAAATTTCCTCAAACAAGGTTTTCAGGGAAAACGATCACATCACCATTTGTCGCGAATCCCACTGAGATCATTTCACATTATTTGTTGCCGTAAAATGATACTGTTTAGAAGGACAATGAAGGATTCAAAGTTAAATTACACTAATCAGAAATGTATGGTAAATAGATTCACCACCAGCCAAAGCAAGCAGGGACATCTATCCCCACACATGGCTTAATGTACCGCCTTGGACATGATCGCTTACTCACTACAACTCCAGGCGACGCCATCTCTTAAGAAGTCAGTCGCTAGTGTAAACAGTAGATGATTACTTTCCTAAATTTACAAATTTGTATCGAGTTTGAGCATGGATTGACATCAGTTAGAGAAACAGCTAGGAGTACTGAACAGCTGGCTGTTTCCTTCTTAGGCTGGTGCTCATTCGCACTACACGCCATCGTTCGTTCCAACCGAATGCATTCCGATTACCAGTCAAGTCTGCAGACCATTCCAACTGATGAATTCTAACACGTAACACTTCATCATATTCTGAGCGATCACCACTTGAAACAGATCAAACATCGAGATGGCTGCAAATTGATTTTCACAATATTGTCAATCCACAAATATGTATAAATATGCCTTCATCTTTTTCACAGGTGAGCAATATGTAAGAAACACAGAGGACATGGAGCGTTCATAAACTCAGAAAACATTTTTCTCTAGTGGTGATGGTGTTTCACTAATTCACATTAATAAACATTTTCTCTTTCTCCAAGTCAGTTCTGCTTACAATCAGTCGTTTTTTGTTTCACATAATCTACTTGTATGATTCGAGTTTATCATTTAGACACACATACACAACCACTGTAACGACTGAAAAAACTATGTGTTATTGTCTGAACTCAGGAGGCCGATCTTCGGGTTCAACTGTACAGCTGGACGAATCTTTCCTGAGTAAGACACAGTATAGATCTGGTTGGATGATAGCTAAACGATAGTTGTTCCCGATAAAACCGGAAGTACCACTGAAAAACGATAACATAGCAGTAGAGCAAAATTATCTCAACAATTCCGTTAGGCACCGATACGCATCTTTTTCACTATCAGTTACAAACCAAGTACTGTACAACCGTAAGAAGCACTAGAGAATATAGAAGAATATTGCCAACATTCTGAGATCGAAACTCTGTCAACTACGGCCACGCACCAAACACTTCCAGCAGACACTCCAAGGTCTCATAGCGCTAACCTTGATCTCATTCAAACAAAATATCAGTCGTATGAGTAAGATTTGTGAACGTGAACATACAGTTAAAATAACAAGCACTGAAATTAAAGATTAGACAAAAGCAGACAAAGACACATAATGAGATTTAAGCCAACGGATGACAGGCGAATATCAAGACAATGATACGCAGTCCAATATAAAAACCGATAATCAATACGAAGTTAGCTCTCATGTCTAGGGAAATATGAATAATTTATTTAGATCGTTTGAGGTATGGTTTTCCTAAGACATCGTTTCACTTCTATCAAACTCTTAAATGTAGCTCGGTCGTGAGAGAAATCCATTATTTTCAAGTCTCTTTATCTCTCTCTGTAAGTTAAATCCATGATTATTACCACTGATAAAATTCAAACAAGACATATGTGAACAATATGGCTTTATCTATTGAGGAACTACTTTTTCGTGACAATATTCACATTTTTTAGCCTCGTTATCATCCGACACAAAATGAAATTGGTGTGAGGCATCTCACAAATAGACCAAAAATAATGTGTACCGATAATTTTCTTAGAAAATACACCACGACACACAAACAACGCGCTGGCTCGAATGAGTTATTCTAGTTTGTGTGAAGACATGTGAGAAGACTCATGAGTATTGTCTTTAACGAAGTAAAACCCCTTATAGTTAAGAAGGACAGGTTTTTCCTGAAATTGCGATTCAGAAGGGTCGTGGCCAATGATGTTTCTTTACCTCAGACTAACTTGAACCACGATACAAATTTGTGCTGATTGTGCCACCTTCACTATGTCATTCACCACCTTCTGTTACAACTGATCAGTTAGAATCGCTCAATCACCTCTTTTGTTACTATCCTCTTATATTAACATCCAATTCATCTGAACTTACTAACTGCATTTTCGTTTGACAAATTTAATGTATACACATACACACAAAATAACCACATATATTTGCGATTGAACAGCTATGAAAATGAATTCGCCGGAAAGAGACACTTCAGATTATTACTTTACATGTGAATCCCGTGTGAAGAAAAAGGTACTTTGGAGATGAATACGCTGAAAATTTTTGTACCGTACATTTGCATACTGGCTTAAATAAAGTCTAACCATTATTATTATTATTATAATCTTGAAGTTAGATTTAGCCTAATTGTAGGCTTTAACCTTCTGAACGAAGCGTTCATATTGAATGCCAACCCAAAAATTAATATATATATATATGACACATTTAAGCAAACAATATTGATTGTTTTCAATTAGATCTCAACAGGCTCAACTCTAATATATATAAGTTTACAAATAAAAATTCAAACAGAAACCAATCATGGTGTTCTGTCTATAGGATAATACGATGGTGAATATAAATCTTGCAATTGGTCATAATAGTAGTAATGATAATATTAATAATAGTAATAATAATAATAAATAAACAATTGTTCAAATGGAATTAGTCGATAAAGGCTAGTAAAGACAAATGAACCGATTACGTAAAGTTAGTTTGTGAGGGAAGGAATTGAAACACTTTTTAATGAAGATAGGATAAAGGGATGATAAGAAATGGGTTGAAAATATAAATAAGGGGTGGTGTAGAAGTCTTTAGTTGGTTATGTCTTATTAGGGCAAGGGAGGGATTATGATTGTACGAACTTCGTCTGAATGCATATTTTAGGTTTAATAGTTCGAATGCCTATCGCCTGCCTCAGCTGTGTGCAGTAGATGAATGCGAAGTCTATTAGAAAGATTTGGTGGGATACGATGAATTACTTTGAAGGCTTTCGTTTTCTCGACTACATGACCACTATCAATGAAATGTGACAGAATTGAGCTGCGGATTGTTTTCGTCTATCCTTTGCCAAACGACGATGGGAGATGTTCACTAACACGTTGGCTAAGCTGTCTAATCGCATGCCCAACATAACTGTCACCGCAGGTGCAGTTGAATTGATAAATACACATAGATGTGGCGAAACTATCAAGTTTATCCTTCGTTTCCGTCCCAATCATTCATCGGCTAGAGAATTAGAAAAATTGGTGTGACGCTTAAAATGTTCTACGTATACTCCTTGAAAGTCTATGGAATAGGATCCCACTAGATAAGTCACCATTCAATTGTAACTTGATAAATAGAGGTTTTTTAATGTGCAGTCAGAGTCTCAGGTTTTTCCTCTGATGGTTTCATGTCTTTCTTTATGAAACTACTCCGATAGCCCATCTCCGTCAAGGAATCGTGTATATATTCAAATTCCTTTTGTAAGAGGTCCTCGTACATAACTTCCTTGCTCTGCTCGCAAGACATCTTACAACATTCTTTTTATGGGCACGTAACTAAGAAAGTGTATTGCCCTCTGAATGTGATTTTTCTGTACACACTTTCTCGCATGTAACTCATCTTTTCTCCTACTTAGCAAGACATCCAGGAAATGTAGTTTATTCTTCTGCTCCTCTTTACAAGTAAAGGTAAGCGAAGGGTGGATGTTGTTGAATTGAAGTAACAATTCGTCTGTGTTAACCTTCTCATCAGCTAAGATAAATGTATCATCGACATATCGGTAATACATATCCAACTCCTTGATGGTATCCTTCAATTTCCCGTTTTCAAGTTTTGCGAGAAAGAAGTCAGCTAATATTGGGCCCATTGGTGAAGCCATAGCTATTCCATCCACTTGTTGATAGTATGAATTATTAAAGACGAAGTGAACATTCATTGTGCATTTAAGAAGTAATTCTTTGAGGCTACACAAGAGGATTCCTAAGTCTAATTACCTACCGGTGATTTCTCAACAAATATAATCAACTGTTTCCATAAGCGGTGCGTTAGTGAATAGTGATGATACATTCATGGATAACATGCGTTTATACCTCACATTAGTCTCGGATATTTTAGAAATAAGGCCAAAGACATCACTAATTCGATGTTGCACGATTTCTCTGTGCAAAGGACCCAAAATCTTAAATAACCACTTCGCTGCTCCGTGAAATGGAGAGTTATACATATCTAAAACAGGGTGAAGAGGAAGACACGGTTTGTGCTCTTTTGGTAGACCGTAAAGACGTGGAGTATTGGTACCCATAGGTTTTATGGACTCATACTTGGTTGATGATAATACTCGTATTTGGTTCAGTTTTTTGAGGGAGTCGGCCATCAGTTTCTCAGCTCTTACATTGGGGTCTTTAGAAACACCAAGCGATTGGAATTTAGTTTGATCACTCAAAATACCTTCCATTTTCTCAGCATAATTGCTTTTGTCCAGTAAAACTATACTATCACCTTTATTCGGCTTGTATTTTCAAACGTCAGATCTTACCTCATCGTCGGATGATGAACTAACTAGGTTCAAAACAACGCTAGTGGACAGATGCCAGCAATACAAGAATAATAAACATTCAGTAAATAGTCTTTTATCTTATCTTTCTTTCAGAGGTGGTTTTCTAATTGTTTTTTGTTGTTTAGTCCTCAATACTCTTTATTGATAAATATCAATATTGGGCTGTGTGCTACTGATATGATTTACAAGTAGTATATAAATACACATATTAATATGTACATCACCCACGTTAATATTAAATAGGGTGAAATGCATTCAATGGCGAAAAGAAGAAATGAACGTTACATTTGAAACGACCTGTAAAACATGAAACGAAGTCAAACAGTCATAAGCATGTAAGATATGTGCAAATTGTGTTTTTGAATATGTAATCCATTTATCTTTCTATCGAATTGGTAAAGGAGGAATTTACTTGCTCAATACCAGACTGTTTAAACAGAGTAGAAATGTGAAACATCACACTGAATCGATTAGAAATATCAGCAGGAAAGTCTTTGAGATATGGTGATAGGATTCGAGGAAGTGACGTAGCTACTCACATCACGTGCTCACAGTAAGAAATCTGATGAGACACACTCTGTCAAGATCACTCAAAGTTTCTCATCCACTGTCTTTCAATACACTTCAACAATTCTGGTGAGATATTTATCACATAGTGTGCTGAATATGAATATTTGCCTTCTGTAATTTCTTGGTAAATTTTCTACGCGAATGTCATGCAACTTTGTATGCATGATCGGTGATCGTCATAACCGCTGTGCCACCGACGCCTGCCTGGAGATTCAAGCTCAGCAAGTTATTGTATTCACGGATGTATAGATGGATGTTGAGACTAAATAATAACCCGAATGATTGACTATTATGATACCAGATATTATCTCAAATTATATCCTCCCTGTATAGCGACGTAAATCGCGTTTGAAATATGAAATTTTTTTTTTCACCAAGCCTTCCGTCCACAAAAGATTGTTCAATGACTTAACACTATGGACAAGTAAATTCGCACCCCAAGAATGACAGAATATGTGGAGCTAATCTGCATATTTTATTGATTTATTTATCCCGTAGTATTCATTGATCACTGCACAAACTCACACATATTTCTTATTGGTTTCCAACAGAATAGTGTAAAGTTCTTGAGAGGTAAATATGTCAGAGAACGTGATTTGATGCAACAACACTGGATCACACGATGTATTGGAGATTAGTATTTTACCTGT